ACTAACCATTTTATGTACAACAGGAATGTTTAATTCTCAGTGTAACTGTTAATTGTAAAAAAAAACACAGGAACTGTATTAAAACCTGTGTTCTTTCAGAAATGAACGATAAGGGTGGTTGCCTGGAAAATCAATCACATTAAAAAAAAAAATTGTCAAGTGGAAGACTGCCTCATATCAATAGCTAAAAAAATACATTTTGATATAAAGTTGTGTTGCTCGTTGGAGCTTTCCCTATAGAAAGCCAGCCAAATGAATCAAAGAGTTGCCCAGATTTTGGGCAACAAAAAAAACAGCCCTCAAATTATTGACCTCACTGTGATGTCATGCCATGTGCTGTGTGTGTCATCTCCCCCGGCTTGAAATGTATCATTACGATCGTTACGGTCACCAATAAAATACTTCCAAAGGCAAATGCACGTTGGAAGGCATTTTGGAATTGATGCGAATGCGTAATATTTCGTCTTTATTTAGCATGCATCTTCAAACATACGTGACTAAAAATAATAATTTCGACAGCTTTGTCAATCAATAGAAGCCTGCCCACTCCGTGTCAGAAATGAGAAGTTATTTCACCATTCTTTACCATGCCAGCCAGTACGGGTTGGTGAAGAGCAAGCCCAGGACCGTTTCAGATATCACTCGTTCGCCGTGGCCCTGAATCGAAAAACTCACCGGCTTAATTGCACCACCGCGACAAAAAGGCTCCTACCCACGATACGTTTTTTTGTTAGGGATGCACAACGCCGCGCGCTGTGGTTTTTGTACCAACGAGGCGGCAGCTCTTGCCGTCCTCTTTGAGCTCGTAGCCGTTGTCACAGCGGCAGGTGTAGGTGCCGCCACCCCCGGATACGCAGCGGTGCTCGCAGCCGTGCGCCACCAGAGCACAGATGTCGGGCCCTGCACGTGGAAGGGAGACACAAGAGACACACACACACACGTCGTTCTACAAGCTATCGTCGCACGCCCTTCACGGCGACGAGCGTCGCCGATACGGCGGGTAACCGGAGTGCACTGTCGGCGAAGATTCGTTTGAGGAGAGATCAGCGGCCATCTTGAATGCATTCTATGACGTTAATAAAATTAACCCGTAAAAACAAAGTTTTTCACTATAAATCTTTTATATGCGTGGCGGCTAGAGTCCTCTCGTTCTCTGGCTTGAGATGGCTGCCACCTATGGGTCAGATGATTGCCTGCCACCATTAAGCAATTGGTAATTAAATATAATTTATTTTTTCCTAAAAAGTGTAAAATTTTGGAAAAGAATTTTCACGAAAATAAATTGTCATGCAGAACGAGTCTGTGTGCAAAATGTCAGCTCGATTGGATCACAGGAAGTGGGTTAAAAAACGACCGAAAGATGTGCACGGTTGTAAGCGCGCAAGCAAGCAAGCAAGTGAACTTAATATAAAGGATTAAAAAAAAATTCCTAAAAAGTGGAAAATTTGGGGAAAAAAATTTCACGAAAATTAATTGTCACGCACAACGAATCTGTGTGCAAAATGTCAGCTCGATTGGATCACAGGGAGTTGGTTAAAAAACGACCGAAAGATTTGCACGGTCATAAGCAAGCAAGCAAGTGAACTTAATATTAAGGATTTAAAAATGAATGCCTGTGCATTCACAGGCATGTAAGAGGATTATGAAAGCCAATAAACAAATACAATACTGTAGCTATTATTGCACAGTTAAATACGTGGGCTATCTGATGTGAGTTTGAATTGTTGTTAATAGAAAAAAAAACGTTAAATCACTTTAGAGCATGCTTTGATGAGGTCACTGAAGTGACGTTTTTTTTTTAAGTGTGGAAAGCACACCATGTGTGATGTCAATAGAGCACTACTTTGCAGTGACTTTAAAGTGACTGTGTCATTATTACCAACAGAGGTTAAATCTCACTTGGGGACAGTCCGGGAAAGCTTAGGTGTGCAAAATAACTGCTGGTTACTTTTAGGAATACCTCATCCTCTAAGTATATTTTTTACATTTATTAAATAAAGACATGCAGACAAAGACTACTGAAGGTGTATAATCATAATAAACTGTCCTTGAATTGTTATATATTTAGTAACTCCCACATTGCAATGATAAACTTTTTATATCAGAATAATATGACATAATAATACGGTATAATATAACAAATAATTTCATTATAATATGGTAATCTTATCATATTAGTATCTTTATTGAATGCAACAATCGAAAAATGTGAGTTATTATTTGAAACATGTTAAAAGCCCATTGGAAAAGTTGCATAATTTACAAAGTAATTGAAGAAATTATATTGTGACAGTGGGATGATTACAAACGAAGCAAGATATTTTTTTCTAAAACAACAAAAACATTTTACTCATTGGAAAATCATCGTCTGAGCACTGAGACATAGTGCAATACAATCATCGGGAGACGACAATCAATAAACACACATGCAGGGTAAATATGATACAAAGATAGAGAACCAGCGATCCGGAATGTGAACGGATGTCAATTTGCAAGAGATTTTTCCAGGGTTTTAGTTTGCGAGTATGTTAAACTCTGGCAGACACAGTAATACCCATATCTTTTAGAGTTGTCATCTAACACATTGCACTCCGTATGACACATCCTTTCATGTATTACCATGATATATATTTGTCACTGCAGTCTGTGTGATGCTTGTCTGGGCAGTCTTATGAAGACCTGCTGTGTGAAATTTCACTCAAATCCTTCATACATTCCTAAAAGTCTAGTCAATAAGTCAATGCGTCTGCAAGTGGCCAGTGAGCGGTGTTCACCCATTCGAACAGCGCAATGCATGCGTTTTAACATTTATGCGACCGAGCTGCCTGATGTTGATACCACGCTCGCCACTGGGCCAGTTTGCACCAAGGTGACAGCTGAAATTCCTCCTGCAGTGTGGAAAGTTGAATAATGCCATCTGCACGCTCAACGTACAGGCCCCACCATGGGTGGATGTCACAGTTGAAAGTTTAAATCACCTGTAACTCAACAGGGATTGTGTACCCTGGAATTGTTTGGCTGCCTTATTTTTCTGACCATGGTTCCCCTCCATCATTGTTACCCTCCGTAATCCCGATTGGCTGGAAATCGTTGATAGGAGCTGCTAGACTTTAACGTATACAAATAATTAACGCACACCCCTTTTTCAATACCCTGATGTCGGTCATTGGAGTTGATTCACCTTACTTCACCAGATTTGTCAATAAGGATTGGTGAAGGGGTGGGTGGCCAAGAAGAGTTCAGATATTACTTTCCACTGATGTCAGCCATGGTCGGGAATTGAACCGATGTGCAATAACCACGGTGCCACCGATCCAACCATATTCCCTGTAAAGTAAGTCCTCGTTTAACACGGTAGATGCATTCCTGAAAAGTGCTGTGTTCAGTGAAAAATTAATTAAGCGAAAATCATTTTCCCATAAAAATGTTAACGATGAAGGTTGGTTAGATATGATGTACTACTAACGCACACCACACAGTAAGATGGTGGGACAAAGAACCGTGGGTACGCCGCTGCGGTACTGTATCATTCCACACACTGTATCATGCCGCTGAGGAAAGTTGTTCATTATCGACGGCTCAGAAACCGTTGAGTGAAAAGTGCTCCCAAATGGAAGAACCACATTATAGCGAAAACGTGTTGTGTGAGCGCGTGTTAAAATCGAGGACTTACTGTAGAGACACTGGAAAATAAGTGCGAGTAGAAACATAGAGATACAAATGAATATGCTAAATAGTACAGGATGCTGTTAAGCTCAAATTCCACGCATGTGACATTTTTATTGATAAGCTAGTTTGAATTAAATTCACATTCACTTGTACTCGTGTTTCTCTGATCCTGGTCAATGTGAACAGATCACACCAACTGGCACGATGACCATAACTATGGTGGAGAATGTGTCTCTTAACTCACATTGCATAAGTCACTTGTTGTTTTGGCCTATGTGTATTATTTAAACAGCATTTTAAAAAGGTGCCGAAAAGGTAAAACTGAATACGTGATGACGTTGACCCAACGTTATTTCCTATGTTAAATGCGCAACGAATCATCACGTTGCAGACGGGGGTGTCATCGACACTCACAGCAGCACCCAGGACTGGAGTTTGAACACACGCACTCCGACCAGTCGAGCAAAGCAATCAAATTCTGCTGTGGCTATCTGTCGCTCGTGAAGCTCTGAATAGCAAAGCATTTCTCGTCGCGTGTCGGGGGAGGGGGGGAAAGAGCTCGGAGAACCACGCACCGCAGAACTTGTCCTGGAACTTCGTGCTGAGTTTCTCGATGACGTCGAAGCTCTCCACGTAGTAGGTGTGCTGGTCGGCCGGCTCGGAGGCGATGAGGCGCAGCGACAGCGGGTCGGCCCGGTCCACCCCGATCGCGTAGATCTCGATGCCGGCACGGCGAGCGCGCTCCGCCACGTCCCGCACCTGCTCAGGCCACCCAGGAAGCGTGGAACGTTGGGCCAACGTTGGGCCAAAGTTGGGCCAATGTCCTGCACCTGCTCAGGCCACCCAGGAAGCGTGGAACGTTGGACCAACGTTGGGCCAAAGTTGGGCCAATGTCCTGCCCCTGCTCAGGCCACCCAGGAAGCGTAGATCGTTGGGCCAATGTGCCGCACCTGCTCAGTCCACCCAGGAAGCGTGGAAAGTTGGGCCAATGTTGGGCCAAAGTTGGGCAAAGTTGGGACAACGTCCCGCAACTGCTCAGGCCACCCAGGAAGAGTGGAACTTTGGGCCAACGTCGGGCCAACGTCTGGCCAATGGTTCCAACCACGTGCCAACGTTAAACCCAACATTGGCCAAACGTTAGTTCAACGTTTGCGTGTTTACTGGGGACAGAGCACCAAGGTGACTTGTGCGCACACAAGGTGGAAAACCCAACCATGTCTACAAGGTAAAGGTGCAGCCCTACAATCGCTTACGTCACTGCTGCCAAAAAGGCCTGTACTAAAGGGAGCTCGAGGAAGTTCTAGAGAGGACCTCTAGCGGGCCATTTGGCCTACTCTTCCACACTGGCCAGACATCTTGGAATAGGTGGAGTACCCCTACACTTGACCCCACCACACGTGACCAATTACTTGTTGCTGAGTGGAAGAGGTGAATTGAGATGAATTTGGATATTATTGAGAAGTGCTCAACGGCATGTCTCTCTCTCCCCGTGGTCACGTGGACTTCTCCAGCTCCTCCGGTTTTTCCCTCCACATTGAGAATCAACATGCATTGAGAGCATTTTGCTCATATACATTTCCACATGATAAACCATTTCATTGAGCTATCATTTGTGGCCAGGTCGCTTCTAAAAAAAGACCTACAGTATGCAGCTCAATGGGCCTTAGTTACTGGGTGCTCCAGTAGATCACCCTTCTATCTTGTGTCTCTCTGTGTAAGTCATCACGGACCTGATCCTGGGGTCGCCCGTCGGTCACCACGATGGCGATGCGCGGGACCCGGGACCGGGCCGGCCGGGCGCCCTCCGCCTCCGTGAAGGCCACCGTCATCGCGTACTCGATGGCCAGGCCCGTCATGGTGCCCGTCGCCAGAGGCTCCATGGCCTCCACGGCAGTAACCATCTCCGCCTGTGGCAGACGCATGGTGGCCCATGGCACAGACGTGGCGGCATTACTGTCTCCATCCACCGCCCCCCCACCCCCCGTATCAGTTTCTCCTGTAGGCTGAAACCAATCATTTTATCTAAATAACCAGTAAGAGGCTTGTTTCGTAATTGATGTGACTATTAGGCTCAGCATCAACCACTCGGCCATCCAGACTCATGGTTTCCATAAGGACACTTGGCCTGAATCGGTTTAGATGTGCAGGAGTGTCATCAGCGGGGTGTGGCTTATTAAACAAATGAGAGCCTCCTCTTGTTAGGGCTAAGCCATGCGTGAACGCAATGGAGACCCACAAAAGATGAAATGAAGAAGAAGGCCGCGGTGGCCCCTACCTTGTGGCGGTGCGTGGCGAGCGAGAACTCGTGGTGCACCGTGCTGCCGTACTTGATGAGCCCGACCCGCGTCGCGTCCGGCCCGATGTCCAGGTTGCCGATGATAGCCGTGATGAAGAGCTTCATTTTCTCAAACTCACGTGGCCGAACACTCCGCGAGCTGTCGATGATGAATATGAGGTCCACGGACTTGCTGGCACAGACCGGGCCTAGGGTATCCGCGTTTGGATTTGCCGTACACACCGTGCGTTAAATTGTTAAATAAACGGAGGGCCTTGCACTATACGGCAACATCTGCACACACGCTACATCTGACTCGACTTACCAACTGTCATTAACATCCAAAGAGAACTACTAAGCCGACTGTGATTACTTTCGATGAGATGTTTGAAAGTAACCTACATTACTCTATTTACTTGTTGGCAACACTCATAACCATATGGACAAAGTTAGTGAAAAACAACTTATAATAATTATATCGTGGTCAATGCCATGTACTACAATGCTATGAAGATTGATTTAATTGACATTAAATCACGAAATGGACCTCAACAAAAGTAACACATTTAGACAAATGTTATCAATAAGGTACATCAATGATGTGCTCCCCAATTTCAGATTATTCCAAAAAAATCTGATCCTCAACATGTTTTTACTTCTAAATGATATGAGAAACCAGCTATGATGGCACTTGCATCATGTCACTTCATTACTATTCCTGCCAAAAGTGGAACTATGCAATTTTGGGTGACATACCTATTGCTAGCATGAAGACATGCTACATTTGGATGTAATGTAAAAAACATTAAATCTGAAAAATACTTAGAATCATCATAGAAAATCTAGGAATACGATTTTTTTTACACCTGGAACTGATCCCTACAGCACACACACGCGTGATATACGATTAATAGTTACCATGTCATCACTGGTAGTGATAATAAGGGGCTGTGGTGGTGGCAAAGCTGACGTTGTTTTGAGGTAGGGACATTTCATTGGTTGAGACTCGTCGTGGTGACGACACAAAGGAGTTAATTCCTTTGGAGGAGGAAGAGCCTTACTTTCGGGAGGAATGATGAGATGTAATATTTCACAGGCCGGTCTAGCGTTGTATACAGCAGAGTGTGCACTGAAAACCCAACAAGAATGCCGTCGGTGCGCATAAAAAATGGCCGCACAGAATTACACGCGAGCAATATCTCGTTAAAAGACAAAAACCTCGCAGAAACCAAAAAGTGACTGGCAGTTGGTGTGGCTTCGGTCTCATTTCCACTTCCCATCGGGTTCATCTGCAGTAGAAGGTCATTCATCAAACATAAGCATTCACGTGCTATTCACGTTTCCTGTTTTAAATCATACAATTGAAATGAATAACATTTTATGCATTGACCTATGGATGCACACCAGGTTAATTTTGATTTAACAAAAGAACGTTGAACCGAGTTCAACTTCACGAAATCTCACCTGCAAGGTGTGGCGTGTTAAACCTGGCCTATACTGTACTGTGCACTCGAATGTCATTGGCGACATGCAGCCACAGTGTGGGGCTAACACATTTTGTGCTGCTGCAACGTTTGGTAAATGATTCCAACGTCTTACTCCGACTGGAAATGATTCGTACTGCCACAATCTTCTGCATGATCATCACAAAAGTCCAGATTGAAACTCAATTCTACTTCCCGCAACTCTCTTCGCATTTCACTCAGTGCCAGATTAAGCTCATGTGTGGCCTGTAGCATATGTTAAAAAGGGGCCCTAAAACACACAAATATTAAAACATACAAATAGAGCAAGTGCAGAATCACTGAACCGGAATTGATAGCTTGAAAGTATTTAACGCGGGGCCCTTGAAAGTGCGGGGCCCGTAGCACATGTTGCTACTTTTGCTACTGGGATAATCCGACACTGACATTTGCACTCTACAGCTCAGGGTGGAATTCTCTGCGGCAGGAGAAGTCTGACTCGCAACCTCCTCCTCCCTCTCTGCACCAAGGGCCAGGACCGTCATCACTGCCGCGCGTTGTATCTCAGTGGCTGCTGCACATTGGCATCAGCGTTGAAACCCACACCGACTTATAAGAGACACTTAGGGGCCCCGCAAGATTTTTTGTTTCCCGGCTTTCGAGCAACAGAGCTTGGCTCGCCGCACCGCACCTCAAGAGTCACGGCCAGTCATGTCTGTGAATGAAGGCCGTAATTATAATATATATTGAGGGGGACATATCTTCCACACATCCCCCCCAACATTAAAATATGCTCAAAATTACCCCCCCCCCCCAACATATCGCTATAAAATAGATTTATTTTTATATGGTTGTGGTTATGGTTGTACTTTAGTAATCCCTAATCTCTGCCATTTCATACAATGAAACAAGAAAAGGTAAAAAAAACAGAGCAATGTAATACAATACACTATTAGACATTGTAAAAAAAGTCCATCCTATGTGTTAGTGAATTTTTAAATATTTTAGGCAGGAAATTCGTTTTTAAATTTACAAAATAAATTCTGGGGGGGGACCCCCAGACCCTCTGGAAGATTTGGTCCCCCCCTAATGTTGACTCCATGGCTATGGCCTTGCTGTGAATTATTGCGCGAGTTACTAATTGCACTATTGTGATTATTCTGACTAGCCCCGTGGGGTATGTATACCGAAACTTCTATCTGAAATCTGTTTTCAGATCGCCTGTAAAAAATAACTACCTGATAAACCTGCGACAGGCACCGGTGATGACCGACAAAATCGAAAGTACTGGTGCGATTTTATCGACGCATCAAAGAACACTGAACGAGTGAGATTCGTGTGGCTGATGCAGTTGGGGTGAATGTTAACTGTATTCACAAAAAAACGAAAGAAAAACTCGAACACGAAAGTCCGAGACACAGCCAAGGTGTGCGCCTACAATCGGTGTTTGCTGTTCAGTTGCCTCTTCATTTCATTAACCTTGACGGCCGCGCTTACGACTTAGGAGCCGTCCATAAATGGCGTCACGCGATTTTGGACGATTTTTGACCTCCCCCCCCCCCCTTCGTCACATGACGTCACAAAAAGTCAGACCCCCCCTCAATTATGACGTCACAAAGCTCTGCCCCCCCCCAAAAAAAAAAACATGCTCCAAATCGCTTTAAACTATTGTCATTGTAGTGCGTATTTAATGTGGCGCTGCACTCTGATGTTGTAGGAGAAAACATCTATTAAAAAGTCTATTTAATTGAGTAGAACGTGTTGTCTATATTTATTGAAAGTTGTGAATTTTGATGTGACGTCACATTTCTCAACCCCCCCCCCCTTCGTCACACATCGTCACAAATGTCTGACCCCCCCCCCCCCCCCTAGGTGCGTGACGTCATTTATGGATGGCCCCTTACGACTTATTCTACACGACGGAAATAAACGTTCACTTTTGACTTGGGTCGCGCTATACAAAGCATAGGCGTTGTAGCAGTGTGTCATTGTAAGAGTGTTAAGACTAATGTCGTTCACTCGTTTTAGAATCAAGGTGCATTAAGAGTATTTGGCTGCTTTACATTTCCACGTGATAAGCCCCTTCGTTGAACTATCATTTGTGGCCAGGTCGCTTCTGAAAACGAGCTATAACAGCTCAGTGAGCCTTACCTGGTCAAATAAAATAGCTGTATAATTTTATGCTTTTTTATTTTGCTTGATTGATACACTTGTTAAACTCCAAAAATGCTCCCCAAAGTGTTCTCTGAACCAATGTAACCTTGGGCCCGTTTTGACTTCACTAAACTTCATCAGCATGGCGTGGTTTGTAAAACAATAATAATTGTCACTCGTAACGTGCAGCGCTCCCCAACCGGGTGAGGCAGCAGCCACGCAGTGGGCAAGAAAATACTTTTGGGAAAGCATAGCAGTACCTTTAGCGATTAAAGATGAAAACTCTGGTTTGTTTTGAAATATAAATACATTCTTTAAAATGGTTGTTGTTTCAATTATGAAATTAATGCATTCATCATCATTTTCGGACTCGCCACAAACATCGTAGCGGGAGTTTGTTTAACAGGCGAACTATATATTTCACAATCGACCACATCATATGTATCACTCGTTACAATGACGCACTACTCCCAAGCCCATGCGATATGTGTATCGCACAACCCAAATAAAAAACCCAACACAACCTTTGCGTCGCACACAATAAACGAGCGGTAAACGAGCCAACCAAGGCCACTTGAATGAGAACGAATCTCTGCAAAACAAATCCCTCGTTCCGAGACACCTCACCGAGGCTGTGAGCGAATGTGATCCTGTGCGGCGGATCTCTGTCACGAGCTGAGAAAATGGTGATGACGATGATGCTGTGATGATGATGATCGCGAGTGATGAGTGGACGCACGCACGCCAAGCGTGGCCGCACGCCGCGTCCACAGAGACGGTAACTGCATCGCGCGCGTTCAGATGCGCTTCTGTGGCCGTCTGGAACGCTCTTCCTTTCGATATTAGAAAGCCATGGAGCTATGCACTTTTAAATCATCTCGATTGACAAACTCATTTCTTTATAACTGCTTTCATGTGTTTAGTGTGTTGTCGTTACCCCCGCACCCCCGATTAGCGCAGTTATCGACGTACGGTGCGAAAGAAGTTCAACGTACACACACACACTGTGAACGCACCTGAGCCGGTCCCCTCTGGCAGCAGCGGCGGGCCCCCAGCAGCATCGTCAACCGTGAGCGAGTCCTGGCCCCTGGCGACGCCTCGGAGGAGGAGGAGCAGCAGGGCCAGGCACGCCGTCAGACACGTCGCCAGGGCACGCATTGTACCTGGGGGATGATGTTGAGGATGATGATGATGATTACAACAACGACAACATGGAGCAAAAATACAAAACGAGGTTTTACGGACCATGTCTATGCATGCCTACGCCATTGGCCGATTTGGTGAATCGTCCTTAACCCCTGATAAGTTAACTAATGACGTCGTGATGCTGCTTGCTGCTGGCAGTGGTGCACAAACAATAATAGTCATGATAATTTAAACAACAAAAAACTCAACACGTTCGACCCGGTAAGGCTGAAAGGAATACAAATATATACAAAGTAAAAGGCGACGTTTCGGGCAATAACCCTTTTCCAGAGCACATGGAAGCTCTCCGATGTGTTTTCGAGTTGTCACACGTGTTGGCCCAGCACGTTGTACACGACCCGAACACACATGGCAGAACCATACAGTACGAATAGAAAACCCGACGCGATTTGACCCGTTTAATTTGTGCGGTCTTCAATGGCAAACTACAGGAAATTCCACTTGAGCTAGTTTGTGCAATAGGCTACAGCCGTTTTGTTTCAAATGGCAGCTGTAATCTCCAACACGCAAGTCGCCGCATTCCCTCTGCAGATGACCGTGTTCCCGAAACGTTAGCTTGCTTGAGTAATAACCCACGGGATGAGTGGTGGCGAAGTGATGAGCACACCTTTAGAAACATGCGTTTATATTAATTACATTATGTTGCTGCTATCATTTCCCACGTGATAAGCCACTTCGTTGAGCTATCACTGTTGATGGCCAGGTTGCTTCTGAAAAATAAGCTAATAGCTCAGTGGGCTTTACCTGTTAAAATATTTGTATATATATAAAAGTGATTTATTTACAATTTCTTATACTTTGCACTCCGATTGTGTTTTGTATTGTTTGTTGTTGTAACGTTCTGACCTGCCCCTAATAGAAATCTGTGAAAGAGAGCTTCATAGCTCATCGGATTCCTCCAGGATAAGTAAATTTTCTGAGTCTGATTCTGACACTATGCTTCAAACCCGGTGATCTCGAGTTCGATTCCAGGGCATGGATAAACGTGGCCAGTGATATCTAAACCGGTTTTTGACCCCCCTTTGCCTTCTTCACCAACTCCCATCGACCAGGGTGGTGAAGTATGGTTGAACAACCCCTACGACAGACGCGGCGTAAGGAGGTCTTCAACCGAGCAGTTGGTTGACAAAGGACTGTAATTTGTAATTTCATTTTTAACATATATAAGTGTTGTAACATGTTTAATCACAGCTTAAGCAAAGCTTCATACCCAGGGCAAAAGAAAACAGACAACAACTCCCTGCCTGCCGTGTTGTATCGATAACACGTGCTGCGTTCTCCACGTCGCACTCGCCTTGAGCACACAACCGTGTATATGAAATCCTCTATTTACGAACATTCGACTTACGAACTTTGAGAGATACAAAAAAACCTGTCCATATGTCAAGTTGCCTGTTCGGATCGAGAGTCGTAAGTTCAACCGCCTCGCAATAGATGGCGGTGGTAGCATCTACATCTGCAGAACATGAAAACCCAGTGGCATCTACGGGAGATTATACAACTTTTGAAACCATTCCCCGTGTTTAGTGTGCATGCCGTACAACACGTTTGGAATCGACAGGAGTAAAGTTGGACTTACGAACAAATCGACTTACGAACCCACCCCTGGAACCTAACTCGTTCGTAAGTAGAGGAGTCCTTGAACACGTACAGTATTCCATCTATATAGCGCCTATAATTGCATTACATTTTCATCCAACGAGCTTAGGCTACTTTTCCAATCTCAGAGGCATGTATCCAGCATGCCTCTGGTAAGTAGTCGGCTTAATGCAGTTCAACTAATCCGCTCAGAGAGCTATACAAGACAAAAAAAACTGCATTTTTGGAGAGACCTGGCTTTTTGGAGAGACCTGGCTTACAAAACTTGCGCAAAATGTATCAGGACTAAGAATAAATACCACGTTAAAGATCAATAGAAGGCAGACAAAATGTAACATCTGTTCACTAGGTAAGACAACCATTGAGATAAATCTCGTTTGCAAGGGTGACCTGGGTCAGCAAGTGACACCGGTGGAGTGTAAATTATAGAGGCCTGACGGAGACGAATCAGATCAAACGCGCTGGTTTTGAACGCCATCACCAAAGCAAACAAAAATGTTGGTATGTTGAACTTCTTTCGCGCCGTACGTCGCCAACCGTGCTCATGCGACACAGCACAACAGTTGAAAGAATACACGTACATTTGTGAGAGATAATAAAACCACAAACATTGCGCACGTAAACTTCAAGGTTCATCCATTTGAAACAAATAAATATCACAAATTGCCACCATTGCAAACATCGTGATACTGCGATGCAGCGTGAATAACGAGACAAGAGATTGATGAGCGCGCGACGTTCACCTGCTGTGAGTGGCGATGCGTGGAGGAGACAGGACACGGCTATCCTTACCAGTCGAGGCGAGGATGATGATGATGATGATGGTATTGCCAGGCGCACCGCTGGTACGGAGGACTCTTGAACTTTAGCGATATACGAACATCAAACGCGGGATTTTATTTTATTTAAAAAAAACACACACAGAGAAGCGTGACCCGAAGCTCAGAAGCTTAATCAAATATCCTAAAAAAATGTAAAAAAAAATGGGCCGGGTGGAGAGACGGACGGGTAAGGAGAAGCAGTCGCTTGTCCAGAAGATGCCCCAAAGACCCCCCTATCGTGTCCGTCGTGTGCCGCACACGCGAGTTGATGCTGATCAAGCCGGGTGGTGGTGCTGGTGATGGTGGTGCAAGATGTGAAGAGCGTGCCCGCATGCACCTCCCTCTAATAAGGCCGGGTAATCATCTCACGGCAGCTGTTCCTCCTCCTTCTCCGCTGCTCCTATAAGACAGCCAGCCACTCACTCTGCGGTCTGTACCTGGTGGCTGTGTGGCTCACTCGCCCCGCCTGTCTCTCCCCCCTTCCTCCCTCCCTCCCTCTTTCTCCAGTGCCGCGTCTCCCCCCTCCACCTCTCTCTTGCGATGACCCCGTCGGACCTCTTCTTCAATGGGCTCCTTGTTGAGATCTGTCTCTCGGAAAAGAAATAGTTGCCACCGAACAGAAGCCCTGTTTGTTTGCTCTTGGCCGAGCGGGCTGCAAATAAAGTGCATACGTGACATCCCGTGCCCCCGCGGGCTGACTATATAACGGCATGTTTTAGGAAAGGAAGGTCTCTCTTTGAGAGAACATACATTGCTTTGTTTTGATAGTGTTATGTATATAGACGCAGGTGGGTCTCATCTCTTATAAAGGGCCATTGTGGTAAAGCCATTGTGTGAATGACATTGTTACGGATGACATGCAAGTGTCACGTCTAATGGAATGTGTTCATATAACTTACATTATCTTCACGTGTATGCCAGTTTACCTTTAGGCAATTAAATCCAACAGTACAATCGTCAACGAGTGTTACAATCTCAATTATGTAAATAATTCTGTATTATATACATTACGCATATGATCAAATATCCTACGGCTTTGCTACCACTTTACACCATATCGTATTGACGAGCATGGTGAAGTATGGGCAACTCCCCCCCCCCCCCAGACCTGCATGGGGTGGGATTACCCTTATCGGTCAAAAATTGGTTGTACAAGTACGTATACACATTGCTACTAATGACATGTATTTTTTTTCCAGGAAAGCTTCACTGAGATTAAGTACATTATTATTTTCAACAGGTTCCTCAAATTGGATTTTTAACCAATTGCACGGCTTACGTTTCCTGAAACTAAACCTTATAAAATAATCCACTGAAAATAATTGTGTGTTATTAGGGTGAAATTAATTTTGGAATTAGGCTGTTCATAAAATGTGAAATAATGTAAAAAGTCAAACAGATTCCACACTGAAAATAGTTTGGGCATTTCCCATAATTGTTATGGCCGTGAATCAATAGTGGAAATTCTGCATTCTTATGGTAGGTGCCACCAGTCTCCCCGTAAGACAAGCACAATTTACGCTCCACAAATTGGTGACGATTTTTTGTACAAAACCAAAGCAGAATTATTATCTGACTTGATCCATAGCCGGAATTTGAGCTCACGACTTTTCGATTGTGAGATGGGCACTCTTCCACAGAACCACCAGAGCGGACTATGGCCGTACAGCGTTAACCAGAGGGGTTGGACTCACTCCTGCAATTCCACGAATCGTCACACGACTCAGGGCTGCAATTGCGTTCGAAAAATGAATATATTTTTTTATTTCTTTTCTTAAACATTCTGGTTGCATTGTTTCGTATTTGTTATCTTTTCTATGTAAATTGCTGCCAAATTCATTAGCCTAAGAGTGACGCTGTCGTATCGTTAACATATACAATAATGAATATAAGACAAAAATATACATCGAGGTTTTCCATATACATTTTGATGCATGAGCCCACATAATACATACACATTGATTAATCAATGTATCATTACACCCTAATATAAACCCTAATTGTAAACTCACTCTTATCCTATTAAATAAATAAGCAATATTCAACAGGTAGGCAATATATTTCATAATGAGGGGTGTTTGGGTTAGATTGCATAAAATATAAATGTGTCCTTAACCCACCACCACCCGACACAGCCATTTAGTAAGGTTTGCCACGAGAACAAGATTTACAATGGATTATAATTACATCGATGTGCTGAAGTAATAGTGAATTGGCACGTTTTGTTCACGTGACAAAACATAACCAATTGGCGGTGTCGGGTGTTGGTGGTGGTGGGTTAACGACACATTTATATTTCATGCAATCTAACCCAAAAACTTTTATTATAAAAAAAGAAAAAATATTTTAAAGACATATTATATGTATGTTGAACTTCTTTCGCACTGTACGTAGCCAACCGTGCTAATCTTTGTCAATCCACTGCTACGTGAAGGCCTGCCCCTGCCATGACAGTAATACTTTACCACCTTGATCAGTACGTGTTGGTGAAAAGGGGGTGGTCCAGGACAGTTCAAAGGCATTCACGTGGCCCCTGACGTTATCTGTAGGCCAAATTCCGACTCTCGCCTCGGGGTTCATAGCTTCGTGAATTAATAACTACTCACCACCAGAATATACGAAACAGAATATAAATATAGATAATCAGACAACATACCTCCTTGCCATAGCTGTCCCTCTACGTAATAAATAAAAGTGTTTTGTATTACTCTTTAACATTTATATATTTTATATACTCTTTGGTTATTTCGGTAAAGTCACGTAAGTATAAAATATAATCAAATAAATCACGGCGTTTCGGGCGCAACACAACCTTCCATCATCAAGTGTTGCGCCCGAAACGTCGTGATTTATTTTATTTCATTTTCTACATATGTGACTTTACCGAAAGAACCAAGGAGTATGGATTCCTGCAGTCACGAAAGCTTAAAATCAATACTTTTTATATATTGAAGGATTCCTATTGTTAAGACTTGTTGATCGATTATTTTGAACATTGACGTCTTCTTGGCATGCGTATGCTCTACAAACAAAGGCTATGGACTCTCTAAATGAAAGAAAAATATTGACCTCTGCATTCTGCCCACAACACGGGGAAATGGAGGAGGCACTGAGGAATGCTGAGGACAATGCTCCGGTTCTCTTTGGGTTACAGACACTTCGGGTAAAGGAATGTGTTCTGGAAAGTCAGTCTGTCACGCTAGCACCCAGGAGCTTAGCTCAGTTAGGAGTGGCACGCATACTGCACCCGCTGTGGCCAACACGTAAACACTGCACGACGATCACTTGTGTTGTGATCGAAACGTCGTAGTCTTCTGTTATTTTTTTGTTATTTTCTTTGAACCTATCTAGGTGACTTTACTGAAAGACCCAAAGAATACTGCACATACATCAGCCTTCATCTGGGCTACTGCGGTAGCTGCAACCGTGGAGTTTGTGCAGTTTATCCCCCCTGCACGTGAGAGCCAGCAAATGTCAGGGTTTTTGTTTATATAAACACACCGATGCTAAAGAGAGATTGGTCTCTGTTGGTCCGTTATGACTGTGATTAGAAATACCCCCAGAAAATGATGTTCTGAAGACAAGAGTGAACTTCTGATTTATATCTATATTAAATAGCTACACATTGCTACGCGTTACACAACATAAAAATGCATGCAATGAGTTGACAAGTGTAGCAGTTGGGTGAGTTGTTGCTCTGGAGACTGGGAGATCGTTAATCGATGTTCAATTGTTGAGTTGATGATGGCTTTGGTCGTGAGTTCTCACTGAACAGAGTGGGCCCGCATGGGGGCTCCCATCTTCCACTCCAATCGACGCCAGCTACGACCCGCAGCTCCCTGTGATCCTGCTGCCTGTACCCGCACGTAAAAAAAACAATTGTGCGATACGGCCAACGGAGTTTCACCGGGATCTCTGATCGGAAGACCCGGACCCAGTTACCAGCAAAAGTTTTGTGATCCATCCTTCAGTGTGAGCCAGTTTTTCAAGTAACTTTAAACAGTGCTTTTAATCCAAAGAGCTTACGATGTGTGATTGGCACGGCACATTTTTCTTGTGACGTGCCAACCACACACTAGACTCGTAAGAGTGCGCGATAACAAACGTTCAGATTTGGCAAGTGCCATAAAAAAAGTGTCATTGGTAGAATATGCATGCGCGGAGAGTCTTGCGGTACCGATGGGAGGTCGCAGCAGAGTGGGTTGACCAAGCTCATTGGGATCTCGTGATAATTAGTTTTCCAAACTTTGACAGAAATTGTCATCACTATACTGTATGAGCATTGTAATATTCCGCTGATTACGAAGGAACTGCGGCGATGCATCAGGTTTGGCTTAGGAGTGAACACAGGCAAGCTATTCAAGTTTAAATAACACAAATACTCAACAAATTCATCAATAATACTCCGGCCTTAAAATGAAAAATTATATAATTGGAGGCTTTTGGTATTGTCCTTTCTTCATAGCACATCATGAAGAGCCATTGCTCAAAATGTCACTTATCTCGAGTTGTTTTGTTATATGTGCTTGTGCACCAGCGCAGCTTCACCAAAAAAATCATTAGTGATGCTTAGACTACTGCCATTTAGTACATGTGAAGGTGAATTGTTATAATATATTTTGTCTGTACGAGTGTGCCACACGAATTCTGGGCATTTAATAAATGTACGAGAGGCAAACAGTTTAAAGAACATGATATTAAAAGCACACATGAACTCATGTATTACTTTGTCCAGTATAGTAAAAAAAATGCATTAGCATATCAATGGACTCCCACCTGCTTAAATAAGATATTGATCTTTCCTGGCATGGCACCTGGTGCAGGTGTGTGCAGGTGTGCGAGGCCCATCACTGATGACACGAAAGGCAGCGATGCTGTGGTGCTGGCCCATTATCTCATGCGTTCGACAAGCCTTTATAGGTGCTTGCTAGCAGGCGTTTATCCCGACTGTCCAAGCGAGCTAAACATGACGACCGTTCGGGTAGGTGAATTAAAAAGGTAAAACGTCACTATAATAATACCTACTGTAATCACCCAGGAATATCTGTTCATTAATATTCATGAACAGGTTACGTCCTCCACATGGACACGCCACTCATTAATAATCATGAGCGGGTGACGTCACTCCGCATGGAGAACCCTCCCCCTTCTTAATAATCATGAGCAGGTGACGTCACTCCACATGGGGGGGGGCGAGGCGCCTCCTCCCCCCTCCTCGGCGTCAACTTACAACCCTCACTACAATGGCAGAACCCTCACGTCACGTGATCTCCGTAACGCTATTGAGACATAGAAGTAAAAAGGACGTCATGATGAACAAGGGATTATTACCTTTAAATGAAATACGTCTGTGTCACCGAGCTCTTACAAATGGCACACGCATTAATGCAATGAATATATCACGTCGCGGTCTGCTTTTCGCTTGCAAGTTT